TTTTTATGTTGAATGTCTTGTGCTTCTTTCTGTTTTCTTTTGTCTTCTAACATCTTGGGAAGAATAAAATTACAGATCCTTTGGAGACTTAGATGTGATTTCATAATTGAACTTTATGTTAATCTAAATGTTGATATACTGATTAACAAGAACATTTAAAAATGGCACTTTATACCAAAAAGGTTGTCCACCGCTGCCCTAAACGAACCCCTTATAGACATTAGTGTCTCCCTTTGGAAGGATTCTCTGTGAGTTTACGTCTTTGGGAGGATACATTAGGTCCTGTATTGCAATAAGAGACACACACAGTCACACACCCAGCCAGAGGCCACTAATGAGGCCTGTCCCTGATAATGGAGGTAATCAGTGCAGCCTATCTGGCCTCTGCCCCTGCTGACATGCTGCCAGCCTTGCCTTGGTTTATTTATACACGCCTGATCCATCAGCACCAGCTCTATGTTTGGTGGGTCTCAGCGTCCCCAAATAGAAATAATTAGGACAGGGCGGGAAAAGAGGAAAAGTGAAAACGTGTCTGAATGTGCATACGCTCTGAGCGGACCCCCTCCGCCCCATCCTCTGCCAATCTCTCCATCCATCCCTGCTGTTCTGTCTCCTCTCTGTTTTGTTTTCTGTAGACAGAGGCAGCAGGCACAAGGAGGAGGAAGAGGAGGAGGAGGAGTGGTGGAGGGGTGTTGTGTGTGGTCTGGATTGGGTGGCCATCCGCCGGTGAAGTCGGGCGAAGCAGAGTGATCAAATTTTCCAGATTACCACACACACCGTGGTCCTGATACTATCTCTGCTTCTCTCTTATAGAGCCTTCCACACCCACCACTGTGTTAGTGCAGATACTGAATTCATTGATTAGTTAATTGACTTCAGTTGTGACTGTCAGTAATCTGTATTTATTCATCAATATTTCCTCCGTTTTGTGGTTTTTATGTTTGTTGTAAAGTAGTTTAAATGTGTCACTTTTTGGCTCTGATACATTTTGATGGCATTGATCATTTTGGACAATTTATAGACTAATTAGTTCATCAAAAAGATTTCTTCAAGGTTACAGAGTAACTGTTAATAAACTGAAACTGATAATTTAGTCCAAATGATGAGTTATTTTTTTTCAGGATGAGAGCGAGCATTTAAAGAGAAAACAACAAACCTTTTGTCAAATCTAAATGGCAGATAGTGTCAGACAATTAATCACTGTGTATAGATTTTTAATCTAGTTAAAGTAAGTTTTCTTTACTATTCAGCCCCAACTAAGAAAACATCTTGTTTTCTTCAAACAAATGTAAACAATCACCCAGTGTAGTATATCCTATAGAAAATAATATATATTGTAATAATAAATAATAAAAATCAACTTACATTTAGTAGAAATTAGCTTTTGAACATCTTGACAAACAGAATAAAGAAACTCTGCACTAGTCATGAAAAGTGTTTCATTTATAGATTTCTCACAACATTTATTGATTTAGTCTTTAATTGATTGATTTTAGTGTTTTGACTTTGACTTTTGTAACTGTATGCACATTTTCACAAATTTCAGCTGTTCAACTTCATTATTGATAATTTTAAGCAAATTGTAATTAAAACTGAGCAAAATTAGTTATTTGTTTCATTAAACAAAAATCTGATGATTTTTGTGATTTGTGATTTTATTAGTGATCATATCATACAATGCAAAAAATATGTTTGTTATTGTTAAAAGTTTAGTTTTCTTAAAAGAATTTAAAAAAATTGTGCCAATGTATGTCTTTCTAAAATAAACTTATTTCAAGAATATTTTAGAAATCAGTGTCCTAAAAAGAAACCCCTGCACTAGAATAACAAAAAAAGACACTTGATTTTGACTAATTTGATGTTTAAGCAGATTTTTAGCCTTGTTTTTTTTTTTGTGTTTTGAAAATAAGACTTATTTGACTTAGTATTAAAACAAGAATTTACTCTATATCACTAATATTTTAGCAATGTGTGAATGTTTTACCAAATGTTGTTTTCCAAATTGATGATTCAATGAATAAAACATTGAGTTCAAACTACAAACAAGCAATATTAGACATTAAACTTTTCTTTTACATGTGTGAAAACCTAAAACAATAAATAATAAACATTTATTTATTGTAGTAAAATAAATTGAGTATTTTAGATGTAATATTGCACATTTACCATATTGTAAACCAGAAGAATAACCTCTATAATTCATATGAAAATTAAACCAACCTGAGGGTAAATGCGTCTCCCTAAAGCGAGTCTGTAAACAGCGAGCTACTCAACAATGACCTTATCTCGCTCCCCATCTTCCCCTCAGATCTGCTGCAGGGAAAATGGATGAGGGCGTGGGGGTGGGACTGTGTGTACATGTATGTATGTGTGTCAAGGCATGTTGTCAGCACTTAAAATCTCGTCAGAGCGGCTGTAGTTGGTTTGACTCTAATGATGACAATGCCAGGCGGCAAGGCGGCAGATGTAATTGGCATGTCTGAGGTCACATAGTTACACACACACACACACAC